TCCTCTTGAAGTTTGCTCAGGTCGGCGCGGTGGGCATCTCGACTCTTTACCAGCAGCTCCTCAGCCTCATTGCGTTTATTCCGAGTAAGCTCATGAGCCTCCTGCTCTTTGCGCAATAAAATTTCGCACCGAGTGAGCTGGTCCTCTAAAATCTTGGCACGTTCTTCTGACGCAATGATTTCACTGGACAACCGAAGCGTCTCATTATGAACAGCGGCTGTTTCGGTCTTCAAGGTCTCAATCTCACCTTGGTCAATCAAAAGTTGTTGATCTTGTTCAGCAATCTTCACCTTTAAAGCCGCCTCCTTGTTGGCTGCCTCTTCTCTTAGAGATGCCATAGCCCCATCTCTAAGCTCTAAAGTATGCTTCTTTTCATCAACTTGTACAACATTTAGTCGGAAGTCATCCTCGGCCATAACTAAACTGACCAGAGCTCGGCCGAGGCAAGCCTTGGCATACTTAAATTTATAAACACTTGGAAGTGAAGATACACCAATTTCAGACCTCGGGTCCCAAACCATCATAGGGACCCGAGTAGCTTCAACAACGTGGCTTGGCAACTCAACTTTACTCGAAATCTCAGGAATCTCGACCGATTCAAATGCTGAGAACCACTTCTCAACGGACTCCCGAGGCTGTCTGAAATTCATTGCCCTCTCTTCATCAATGGGTAAAAACGAGCGATCAACCAACGGCTCTTTCTTCTTCTTTTCACACTGACCGACGTCGTGTTTTTTCTTAGACCGTCCCTCACTCGCTGGGACGCTCTCAGCACGCCTCTTTCTTCGTCGGGTCAGCGCAGCCTCTTGCTCCTCAACCACTTCTCGGTCACCTTCAAGCTCGTCGGAGACAATTTCGATGACTGGCCGGATCTCTGGTTGAGCAGTTTCAGTAACTGGATCTGCCTCAGATGAACCAACAACGGCAGAGGCTATAGCAGCAATCGGACCAGCAACTGCTATCATCAAAGTATTTAGCTGCACCACCTCAGTGGCAGCTTCCGACGTCGCACCAACACCAACGTCGGCGTTTTTCGGGTTCATAATCGAATTCGCCAAATAAGCCTTTACCAACTTCTTGCGACCCATTTCAGATAAGCGTTGCTCTTTTCTCTTACCAACTTTAGTCCGCAAATCCAAATTTGGACACTTCTGGCAAAAAGCTTTAGCGTCATGATAGTTTTGAACCCGAGCACTCCGAGATGCGGATATTAAACCGCAAACAAAAAAATTCGAGTTATAGTTGCCTTTACAAACGACCGACTTCAAATAAGATTGAAAGTTTATGACTCAAAATTACCTGGTTGAAAGAAAGGATCCGAGATCACAGGACAGAGACCAGCTGCTTTTAACCTCGAATCCTTCAAAACCAATTTAAAGCTGTGTTGTTCCTTCTTCAACTTGAACAGCTCGGTGATTCTCCCTTTCAACTCCGCACTGAGTTTTGGTTCCTTTTTTCGGCTGCAAATAGTAAAATTGCTGACTTGTTAGTACAAAAATAAGCAAGTCAGAACAACTCGGTACGAGAGATGTTAAAAGACTTACAATATGCAGAATTAATTTCAATGGGTATTGACATCCCATCGATTAAAGGTTTAGAAAAATTCGGAGTCTGCCAGTCTCCACCAACCCACTGCCACTCTTCATGGAACCCATGGAGAGAATCTGGAATCTCGGTAATTAAATCACTGACTTTCAATCCACCTTGTGGCCTCCCTGCGCATGCGAAGCAGATAAGTGGATCAGCCACCTGCCTATCGGCACACCTTCTGAATGTGAAGAGACTCCTAATCTCCTCCACAGTCGGCATACCCCACTTCTTCTCCTTTAAAAGCACCATCAAACCGATTATTCTTTTCCAGGAATTCGGTGCAATCTGGCATAAACCGAGGCCCCAATCCCTTAAGTAATGGCAAGGGAAATCTCAATCCCTACCTCAATGAATCGGCAAAAACGCCCACACAGCCAGCCGGAGGGCAAGTAATCCTCTCACCCGGATAAGGAGCAAATAATCTTACCGAGGAGGGAACGTTAACTTCCCCTCGAAGCATAACAATATCTGCGTCAGTTAAAATACTTGGCTCGCCCCTATACTCGTCAATCGGTTCGGGCCACCGACGTGTCGGACGTCTCCAATATTCAGCAAGAGACATAGCATTATTTTCCGTTGTCTTATCCTTCTCTACTATGTCCTTATTCAGGTTAAGCCTCTGAACAAGAACAGAATCCCACCGATAATACTCGATAGGTAATTCCAAATCCTCATCGGTAAAGATCCTATCCTCGGAAACCGTACGACTACTACTACCCTCAGCATGAGAAACCATCTTTCCGAGATTGATAAAAAGAAATAAAGGCAAATTCGAAATCAACGAGCACAAAAATTAAAAATTAGGGCAAAACCTTACCAAGTCTCAAAGCCCTAAATTGGAGAGGATGAAGAAATGATCACGATAAGAAAAGATTGAAAGCAAATTTGAAGCTCTTAAGGGTAAAGATCGCAAAAGAAATCAAAGAGTCCGGTAATTAAAGGTAAGGAAATCCTTTATAATCAAAACCGACTCATATTTATAGTTTGCGACTTATAACCGTTGAATGATCGGGAAATGACGCATGTTAAAGACGTGTCATCAAACGGCGTGACGTTACAGTAATCATTACTCCACGTGGGCCAGTCATAAATTGCCATGCTGCCCTATTTTTTCTACCTGTTATGTCCCTTAAATATAGACACGTCTTTTAAGAACTGTCACGTCGACGAAGCCGTTACACAAACATTATCTCCCTATCAAAAATAGGAATAAAAAACAGTCGAAGAAAAATCAAGTCGGAGCTATAGAAAACTACTAACAACATCAGCAGCTATCTTTAAAGCTCAAAATACCTACTAATGTTGGGGGCCTCTCTGTTGATGACCGACTCGATTTTTTTTAATCGACTTAATTTTTGATTAATTGAAGGTTGTCTAAACTTATTCTACTAAGTTTCCCCTCAAAAGTATTGGGCAATAGCTGAACTTATCTAAAGTCGGTATATTTAAAAGGCTACCGACTTTCGGATAACTTAAGAGAACTGACTTCACCAGACTCTGGAACCGACTTCTCCAGCCCAAGAATATCCTATATTAAAAGTTATCCATTCAAGAAGATCTAATTTCCAAGCAGGAGATGTTGTACAATTCTAATTGGACCATCAAGTCAGAGAACAATCATTGATGTTCCCTCATCATCATACACGCCGCTTTAATGAAGCAGCTTAACATTCAATGCGATTCAATCTACCTCGGACAAAAAGACAAAATCAACCGTACTATAAATAGCAGAATTTATGATTGTACGGGGATCTTTTTCCGCACATTGTACACGAACTTGAAATGATCTCGGTCAAGAACGAAAAAACCGACTTCCTGTACTCTCGTGAAATTATCAATGATACACAATTTACATTTATTTTCGCTTAAACATACCCTGTTGTTTGTTACTTTGAGTTGTTAATTTCATACAACAACAAAAAACTTAGACTTCGAATTAATTTTTGAATTAACCTTTTGTGTTTGAAATTTCACCAATTTAATTTGGTGCTTAAAATATTAGATTTAAGTACTTGGAGTGAATTCTTGAGACTCAGAATAATTTACTTGCTATTTCTTAAGACTAAAGTCGAGCAATCTCATAGATGAATAAAATCGTGGCGCTACATAATCCATTTTTGTCGAGTCAACGAAAGTATGTACTTATTGAATTAATTAACACGCTTTCGAAATTCATCGGCGCCGCCACTGAATATCTGCCCCTCTCCTTTGATGCAAAATATGCAAGAATCGATTGATTTATCTTGCACTAACAACTTTGATTCTCCTTCCGAGAAATCAACATACGGTACGATTTCTCTGCGTTCATGATAAAATAATACAAATATTTATAAATAATGGAACTATTTAAAAAATAATGAACTAACATATGATAAATACACCATCTTTCAATAATAAGTTCATTAATATTATGAAAGTTACATTACCCGCTCATGCTCATCGGGATGGATTGAGCTCCATCACCCGGTCTTTCATTCCTTCTAATGGTCGGGCTTTTATTTCTTTCAATGACAAGTATGTCTACAATATTTATTTTCCAGCAAACATGTAACCGAATCATGTTTTCGCATCTTCATCATCGGACAAACTAATTCTCTTTTTTTTTTCTTTGGCGCAATATAGTTTTACATAACGGTTTCCAAATTAACAAGCGGCCACCTTTTAGCAATGAGAGTGTACACTTCGTCATACGCTGATCCAAGGTGCATAAAGAACACATACAATTCATTTTTGTAGAGACAACTCCCTAATATATTACTTTGTGCTCCTTCATGTATCTAACAATAATTGGATAAAACAAAACAACTTTACATTTTCCAGCACATATGGTACCAAACAGTGAGCAACGTGATACTAGATATACAAACAGAGGTACAAAAATCATGAATAGTGGTACTATGATTATTATCATCTTATTTTTATATTTTATGGTGAATAACACTTAACATAACCTAACAATACCATAAATTTGGTAGACATGAACAACAAAAAAGAGATTATGATCACTTTATTTGTTTTAAGGTAAATATAAACAACTATTGAAAATTGAATCCTTAACAAATTAACCAAAAATATGAATTAAAGATGATTGTTGGACTCCAAAGTCCTCATATAATATATAGATTACTTACTACTTCAAGTTTTTGCCGGGAAAATGCTCAATGTTGCCGGAAAAATATAACTTCTTGGCCGGAGAAATTCGACGTCGGGATCACTTAATTTGCCGGATTTGTCGCCGCCGGAGTTCTTCTCGCCGATTTGGTGCCGCCGGCAAGATGAAACTGCAAAAAAAAAAAAAATGGTGGCCGACAGATGAAGCTACAGAAAAAAGGAGAGAGATGGTGATTTGTGTGGGGAAGAAGCCAAATATAAAATATTACTATTTATGTANCACTGTACACTCCAATCAAATCCTAATCTCTTTCCATTTCTCACGCGAGCGTTTCCTTCCCACTTTCTTCTCCTCGCAAAATCCCCGAAAAAACACACACAAATCCTCTTCGGCTAAGCATACAGCCATCCTAGCTATTGCTACATCACAAGGTAAACGTCTATAATCATTATTTGATTGAAGCTATTCTCATTTCCGAGCTTATGTTAGTGGTGTTGTTATGATTAGCTTTTTGTATATATCATGGATTAGTGAAAGATTTATCGGTGGTGATTTTTCCTTTTGTTTTTTTCTTCGGCTCTTTGATCGAAAAGATGACGACGAGCCAAGGTGGATCATCCTCGAGGAGAAGCGTAACGTTGACCAACTCGTCGTCTCACGCAAGGAAAGCCGCCGCGGAGAACGGTGGCGGTGGAGTTGGAAATTCCTCTCTTCACCACCGCAAATCATTAACCGCTTCCCGTTCCATGTGAGCTTTGTATTTTTTCTTTAATTCTATTTTATTCCATCTTAGCTTGTGTGGGGGCATGTTTTTTTTATATGCCAATTCGTTTCCGAGAAGCTGTTGTATGATAAGTTTGTCTAGGCAGAAGTCGTGGAAATTCAGATTTTGAGATTCAAGGAGGTTACTTTGACTCTGTGCGAAATAGAAATGAAAGTTGTAGGTTGGGTCTGAAATGTTAAAAATGGAGAGTTGGTGCTTTTTTTTTATTCGAGCGTGTTACCATGAAGTAGAATGCAAAGTAATTTTGTAAGAGTATGATACTTTCATATCCACATATGAGCAATGAACAAGCTATTTAACTGAATAGTCTTCCTATGTTGATCTTTGCTGTAAGTAAGAGGTTAGATCTATGTGTTTCCTGATTATTGCATTAAAGTTGGTGGTATCCCTTTCCAAAAAAATAAACTGGAATCTATACTTATTCTATTTCTTCAATATTGGAATTTGCATTTATCATTGTTGTTCTGAGTTAGGTGTATGGTTGGTACCTGAATTTTTGTCACTATTTGTTCCATTTCGCTGAGTATTCCTACATCTTGTCAAAAATTATGAAAATTTTCACTTAGATAATTAATAGGGCATAGCTTTAGGCGCATGTAACCAAAACAGTTATTATCTTGCTCCTATATCTTCCTATTTAGTTGGGCATAGCTTGAGGCACATGGATACATAAACATGTATTACTTCAAGTCAATTTGTTAATTAATCTTCTTCAGCAGTGATTTGTGCTGCTGATTTCAGATCTTTCTTGGACTAAATAAAAAAGAAAACAGAAAAACGTTTGACTGAATGTAGAAGGAAGTCCTACCAGCTATACAGGAGAGGTAGACCATGTAACAGAAAGAGAAACATGAGAACGAGAATAAGGCATTTGTTTGATGCACATTTGGGACAATCTAATAACTAATTCAGTTGTTATTTTTTATATTATTGAATAATAAGGGGGTGTATTTGTTTGAGATTTTTAATGACTTTTTAAGATATAAGAAGTGGTGGTGTATTTAACTTAGACTTTTTAAGACTTTTGAAGGTCTCGAGGTATTCATTTGAAATTTTGAAAAGTCTTATAAAATCATGAAGTATTTAACTTCTTTGAGACTGATTTTTTAAAAAATTTTAAGATTTGCTGAAATTTTAAAAGAAAAAACCATAAAATCCCACTCAGCCCTCCATGATCCTTCCTCCAAACTTTAGGATGGTGTATTCATTTGGGATTTTAAGAGACATTTTAAAACTTTTTTAGATTTGAGACTTTAAGATTTTGAGATTTAAGAACAATCTTTGGAAATCTTTAAGTTTGGAGGTAAGATTTGGGCTGAGAGTTCGTTTAAAGTTTTTGTTTGTGAACAACAAATCTTAGAAAGTCTCAAATCTCAAAAAGTCTCAAAATGTCTCTCAAAATCCCAAACAAAAGTATTCGTTTCGATGAAGGTCCATGAACTTGGACCACTTGATATCATTTACAGGATTGGGTACTCTTGTGGAATACAACGAACTACAAAGAGTTTGTTTATATATAGACAACTGAAACTATAATCACATGGATTTTGATTTCTATTAAATAAGGTCTTTTTGCTAAAATATTTATACTAAATATTTTGATTTATTGACAACTAAGTTTCTTATGTTTCTACTAGAAAGAGCAACAGTAGACTGTTGAATTAGCAAAAAGAGCAAAATGGAAGTCTGAGTTGAAAGTCTACTCCTTCAAATATTCTCGGTAACGCCCACTGTAGAGAGGGTTACGTGAGGCCTAATTGGGAGAATGCAGGCAGAAACTAAGTGGGGTTTTTGAACTGTAGGCATCGCATAATTCAAATATTAAAACTCTTAAAATTTGTTATAATTAGATAATGACCAAACAGTCAGTCTCCTCACCTGATTGAAGCATATTCTGGCTGAGTTCTTAGGTTTTGACTTTGGTGATAATGACCGAAATCCGATTGTTCATGCAGGAATTTATGACAAAATATTAGAATGTAAAATACTTGGACCATGTATTATTTATCTGTACATGAGTTGTATGTTCTTTACTTTCATGTATATATTTCAGCAGTTACAATTTTCATTCAAGATACTTAAAAAAAAAAAAGGATGTCTGCAACCAGCAGACCGTATGTGGCAGTTTGTAGCTTATAATTTGTTTGCGAATGCTTCTCGTATTTTTGCGACAGGGGACTGACAGGAGAACGGACAGTCAAGCGCTTGCGGCTGTCTAAAGCCTTGACAGTGCCTGATAGTACAAGTATCAGTGAAGCTTGTCGCCGGATGGCTGCCCGTAGGCTTGATGCGCTATTGCTGACAGATTCAAATGCATTATTGTGTGGAATATTGACTGATAAGGTATAGGTGGTATAAACATACAAGATACTTCATTTATCATTATTCCATTCAAAGTGATGAATTTTGTTTTCCTTTTTTTTTTTGGCTTCGTGTCATTGAAGGATATTGCTATAAGGGTGATTGCTCGTGAGGTTAACCTTGCAGAGACTCCTGTTTCGAAAGTCATGACAAGGAACCCAGTATTCGTGCTTTCTGACACCCTCGCAGTTGAAGCCCTGCAAAAGATGGTTCAAGGTGTTAAGCCTTCTTCCTGAACCTCGGGCTTGAATAATTTTAAAGATGTTGTTCTGGAGTGCAGATTATTTCCCTTTTTAGGTGACATTCTTTTTCCACAGGAAAGTTCAGACATTTACCAGTTGTTGAAAATGGAGAAGTGATTGCATTGCTTGATATAGCAAAATGTTTGTATGATGCCATTGCTCGCATGGAGAGAGCAGCGGAAAAGGGAAAGGCTATTGCTGCTGCTGTTGAAGGTGTTGAGAAGCACTGGGGGACGACAGTTTCTGGTTGTTGAATGTTGTTCTGTTTCTTTTATGTTCTCTCCTCACTGAGTCTATACGTTATAGTGCATCTCTTTCTGTATCATAATAGTCATGTATGTCTGAAGGATCAGCTACCTGTCCAGGTTCATTGATTAATTTCTAATATGTTGAATGTAGGTCCTAACACATTCATTGAGACACTCCGGGAGCGAATGTTTAGACCTTCCTTGTCCACTTTAATCTCAGACAACTCAAAGTAGGTAATATCTTCACTTGTTAATTAATGCTATACTGGATGTGAGTTTATGACAATGACTAGATGATAACGATGATTTCTAATGTAACCTTCAACCTCATTGATTTCTTAGGATTGTTACGGTTGAACCAAGTGACACCGTGCTAGTGGCTGCAAAAAAGATGCTTGAAACCCGATCAAGCTGTGCCATTATAACAGTAGATAAGAAACCACGAGGAATACTCACGTGAGCCTTCTGCCTTTGTTGTAAACGATGTTAACTTGTGATGGGATAATATACTAATTATGAGATTATCTGTGTCTTTATTTTCACCATAATCTACTTGTCCACCTCCTACGGTTCTCTAAGTTCGAAAGACATTTTGATGAGAGTCATAGCTCAAGATCTTCCTCCAGAGTCCACTCTGGTGGAAAAGGTAGATTTTTCCAGTTATTTTTGCCTCTGCAGTTGTTCTATTGCCATGTTCATAACATTAGTCAGCTCCATCAAGATTATAGTAATATGCAGATGTATTCTAGATCATCTTTCAAACTTAGATAGCTCTTTCTACCAACTTGTTTTTCCAGGTGATGACACCAAACCCAGAATGTGCAACAGTTGATACACCTATTGTTGATGCTCTTCATACCATGCATGATGGCAAATTTTTACACCTCCCAGTTGTCGATAAAGGTAGATATATTCATAACATGCTGTGCGGAGTTCTGTTGTGTACTGTTATCTCATGGTTATCATTCGATTATAATCTTTCATGTCATGATTCAGATAGCGTGGCTGTGGCTGTTGTTGATGTGCTTCATATAACTCAAGCAGCTGTAGCCACCGTAAGTAGTTTTCGACATTCGTAAAGACAAGTTGGTAATTAGGGGATACAGTTTGTCCTGCATTATAACTAGAAAACAGCACAATCTATCTAGAAACTAAGATAAATATCATACCTGCTGTAAGGTACTTCTGCCCTTGGGTATTTGTGATTCGTGGGACCCATATGCGATTGACGGGTGTTAAATTGGTGTCTGCTGCAGAGGTGAAATTAATACTCAAGTGATGGGATGTTGATACCTTTTTTTTTTTGGCTGTCTTACAATTAAGATTATGGAAGGCAGGTGAATGGTGGAAACTTGTAATGATTTAACTGTTTAGTGTTGGTGTGTGGGGTATAACATAATTGAGGTTTTTGAATTGGTTATTTGTGCTGATTGTTCTGCTAAAATGTTCATATCATTTCTCAGCGTCTATCACTGGACATGCTAGAATTCGCAAACATGCAATCTTGTTGTGGACTTCCATAAAACTTGCGGTGGTATCGAAAGGCATTTCTTAGTATCATGAAATTCGATCAAGATATGCTAGATTTGATGTTTAGGCACTTTGGAAAAACGTGGTTCCAATTTCTCATTTATACAATACTCTGTATATGTGGGTTATTTTTCTTATATTGTCTCATTTACTTTTTTGGTAAACCTTATATGCTTGGTTTAGACTGTATTTCATCAAGCCATGGAAATATATATGAAGTCTATGCAGGACGAACATTGATTTTGTTGGTCCAAAGGGACAAGATAGTTTTTGTGCATTTGCCTGTTTCTAAAACTAAGAAAATTGAACATGTGAAATCTAGTTTAACTCTAATGTTTCATCTATGTTTTTGTATGTGGGGTTATACTACAATGCTGGGTGACATCCACGCTGATAAGCTAGGACTTAATTATTTACTTATAATATTACTGTTGAATTCTTGCCAAGATATTTGATTTGCAGAAAATGTTTTCTGATAGGTTCTTCTTTCCAGGTTGGTAGTACAGCTGGGGTTACTAGTGAGGCTGCAAACACTATGATGCAAAAGTTTTGGGATTCTGCCATGGAGTTAACTCCAGAGGATGATGAGGAGACCAGGAGGTTGTGACTTTTCTTACGATATATTATTCTTGATTATTCTTTCTATATTTTTTAATTATTTCTTAAGATTATTTCAGTGAGAACTCCTTGAAGATACCTTCCGATGGCGGAGAAACTGGACGAACTATTCCTTATCCTTCTTGCTCCTCATCCAGTATGTTTGCATTCAAGATTGAAGATAGAAAAGGAAGGATGCATAGGTTTTTATGTGGTGTGTTCTCAATCTTCTTCCTTTTATTATGAACAAAACAATTTTGGAGTGCTAATTGAAGTTTATTTGCGTGTTGTAATTTCCATTTCACTTAGAGAGACAATATTTCATGGTTCTACTAATATCCGCACGAATATGGCATTATACACACACACACGCGGGCACATTTATAATATCTTGATAGGTAATGGAAATGTCTCCGATACAACTCAATCATTTCAGATGTGATTTTGTTTCTTCTTTTTCATTATGTCTTATTTTTTGGATGAGGAAATTGCAAATCTATCCTTTATCATTTTACGTTATGACCCAGACAAGTGTTTCTTTCAGCTTTTGTTTTCTGTTGCTATTTCTGATTCAGGTACCCAGAATTTGGCTGACCTTATAACAGCAATACTCCAAAGAGTAGGGGACGAAATTGACCGCAACAAACTTCCACAAATTTTGGTAGACTCTGCTCTTCTGCACACTTCCCTCTAATTAAATTTCTACATTTGCAGTCTTATTCTTGTGAATGGCCATCATCATGCAGTATGAAGATGAAGATAAGGATAAAGTTATGCTTGCATCAGATAGTGACCTTCAAGCAGCTGTAGACCATGCAAGGTCAGCTGGCTGGAAGGTAACAATATTCATACGTGTGAAGAACAACAAAACCTACCTACCTGTACTCCTGCTTAACCGCAAAAAATGATCCAGTTATATTATGAGTTTAAGTATCCTCTTATATTTTTTCATTTCCCTTTTACAAATTACTGTGAGGGGATATTTGAAAATTTTGAACGATAACCATAAAGCTAATTAACAGCCAGGGTAGTTTTTGTAATTCTCCTGTTTTATAATATCGAGCCAGAGTTGAGGATTTATGGAGAGAACATATCCAAATAATGTGTTTTAAATGAATTGAAATATAAGAAGAAAGAAACAAACATAACAAGCTAACAGTCCCCACTCCAAGAGTGCTGATTCCTCAGGAAGTTATCTTCCTGCACAAGAAGATAACTTGTAATGATATTTCTATGCCCTAAAACCTATAGACTTAATCCTACTGCATGAATAAAAAAAAAAAAAAGATCAGCCACCAGTTTATTCTAATCCTAAATAGCTAACATAATTTACTTAATTAAAGAAGAAAATCCAAGACAATTGTTGACACCTGATATTGAAAGAATTTATTTGTGCCTGTTCTTAAACGAAATTGAAGCTAATGAAGGGAATAAATTTTAAACAGGGTTTGAGACTGCATTTAGACTATTCTGGGACACCTAGTCGGCGAAAGGGATCGAACTCGAGCAGTAGTCTGGAATATGGTCAAGCAGATGCATGGGCTTCTGCATATAGTGCTGTGGCAGCTGGGGCTGCACTAGTTGCCGGTTTAGGCGTTTTAGCATTCTTGAGGCGCACTGGAAACTGATCGTATTTGATTCAAGATATGCTTTGCTTTGCAATTTGTTAAGCTTGGAGACCGAAAAGGTTAGCCTGTGCTGCCCTTCGCATTGGATTTATACATCTACATAATTGAAAATATAAAAATAAAAAATAGTGATGTGTTGATAATGACGAAAAAAAAGGTGATAATTCTACATACAATTTTTAGCTCCTTCAAGTGAGCTGTCTTCGATTAATGAATTGATGACTGCAACCATATTGGTTCCTGATTGTTAATGTGTAATTGGGGAACTGCACATAATTGTTTCAGTTTTTGCTTTTGGAAAATAATGACCGTTGGTCTTATATTGAGAAAACTCTTTGTTTTTTNAGGAATGAATTGCGAAGGATGTAAAGTAAATTTAAAAAAAAAAAATGCTACAAGTACGTAATAAATGTACATAGAGGTGTACATAACACTCACATGGTTGGGGTCTACTTGATTTTTTATTTTTAGTAGGATCCACTTAATGTGAGTGTTATGTACACCTCTATGTACAATATTATGTACCTATAGCATCTCTCTTCATTCGAGCTGACACTTGCTCGGGCCAAGTATATCCCATAAACCGTGAAATGTCATGAAGGATAGCGATACATGTAAAACAACATGGATTCATTTACTTCAATAGATAGGAGTTATGTAGGCCTTATCCATCTGGTGTTTGCTAACCGTGATTGAGGGCCCTTGTGATTGGATCTGCACAAATCCCGGCCTGACGAGCTACATGAATACAAAGGTTGCTGCGTTGATTAAAATTATCACAAGTACGAATTCAGTTAAATTTACCTTATTACCTTTAAATTTTTTCTCAAATTGCAAAATTGTCCTCATATTTAAAAGGGTCAAATACTTTAAAGTTTAAATCTTTTAAACTATCACGATTTTCGCGCTTTATCGTATAATTTTTTTTTTTTACAAATCACTATATGAACTATGCGTGTTTGTCTTTTTGTCACATGAAACCAAGATTTAAAGTGATTTTTGTAAAAATAAATAAATAAATAAATAAATAAAGTAATTATTGTAAAAACAATAGAAAGGGATTTTTGTAAAAGAACAACTGGTTTGTAAGGGTATTTCGAGAATTTTGAATGTTTAAAAATAATTTTATTAAAGAATGAAGAAAAATGGTGGGGCCGCTGATTAATGCACGATACATATATTATTAATTATCTAAAAATGAAGAAAAAGCGACGGGGAAGCTGTCACTATATACAACACCCACAACCTAGTTTGCATATTTCAGTCGTCTTCCTCACATGGTCATGAGTAGACGTGGCCACACTTCAGTTTCGAGCCGAGGGATGGAGGGCGTTGAACCGGCCCGAACATATGCATGGGCCGGTTCAGAGAACCACTGGATCCCGGTCAGTCCAGTTCAATTAAATAAAATAAAAATTAATAAAACATTAAAAAAGGCAAAACCGTTGATTCTGGTTCGGAATCGGACGATTCAAAAATTACAAATACGTGGCCCGAAACTAGCTCAGTCAAATCACGGACCAGCCATGTTTAGACATGAGTACCCAGCCTCAAGTGTCTCTAAAAATGAAGAAAAATGACGCGGCCCGCCGTCACTATATATATCACCCACGTCGATCGCGATGTGCTTTTGGCCGCGATCACGATCTGCGAGAAAAAGGACAAGGACTGCTCATTGTCCCTGCTCGTCTCACGTACGCAGTCGAGGTCAAACGGGTCGAGTGGCTCCTCCTCGACGAGGTCCGCCAAGACGAGCTCGGCGTGGAGAATGAAGCACGCCTTCATGTGCGCACAACTCTCATCGCACGCGGTTGCCACCGTGAATGAGAGGTAGGGGTGGAGGCCGATGGCGCAGCCGAGCACATTTTTTCCGTCCATGAAGAAGGCGAATAGTCCGCTTTTGAACATCACGACGACGTTGTCGCCGCACGAAATGTCAGCAAGAAGGGCCCAAATGGGACCATGAATGACATTGGAGATGTCATGTCAGTCATCCAAAAGCTGGCTAAGAAAATGGTGGCGACAATCGGGTTCGAACAGGTCGGCGACGAAGGTGATGAGGATAGCGCCGACGAAGAAGGAGGAGATGCCAGAATAATGGTTAGTTAGAGACGATCTGGTTCTATTTTCTTCATTTTCTTTTTTTTTTTATTTAAAAATATACGAAATTCCTAAAATCCCTCGAAAATCAGCTTTTTTAGTCAAAATAACTTTATGTCCGATTTAGGGGCTAGTATGAAAAAAAACATAGAGTTCGTATGGTTGTTTGTAAAAAAAATAAAAAACTTGATATGGTAATCTACGGAAATTGCGATCATTCGAATGACAAAAAGTTATTTACCCTATTTAAATTTATCTGCTTTACCATCCCTCACTTCAAACCAATTTTCGTAGATTGCCATATCAACTATGTTTTTCGTAGATATGGTAATCCACATGGAGGAGGTGCCTTATTTAAATGAAGTCCTTTCTAGCGTCCGTCAGCAGTTAGACACTATTGACTGAGATCGACAACAAGGCCTTCGAGAATGGGAGAGAGATTGTACAGGAGCAAGGGAATAGATTGGTACTCTCTATGGTGAGTAGATCAACATGGAGGAGGGATATGAACTCGGTAGATAGCAAGGGATTGAAATCGACAAAGCTGAGACGCTTTTTACTTCGTTTCGTGGAGGCTTGTCAAAAAAATTAGACAGATTTTTGTGCAATGAGGAGTGAATGTCTAAATTCTTTGAAGCCATAGTCGTTCATCCCACCAGAATACACTCAGACCACACCCCATTATTAATCCGTTGCTCACCTTGTATTTCAAGCAAAGAAGGACCTAAACCTTTTCGATTCTTGGCGCCATGGCTTCTCCATAATGGCTTCAGGGATGTTGTAATCGTCTGCTTCGAAGAGGGACGAAATTTTTATGAAGCTTCTCGAGCCTTTGCGGTCCGAAGGTGTGGAATTTGAAGTCTTTGGCAATATTTTCCTAAAAAAAAAAGAGTTGTTTGCCCAAATTGGTGGAATCCAAAGAGCCCTTCAACGCCATAACTCTGAACATCTCATCGATTTGGAACAACACCTTATTAGTGAGCTTGATGAAATCCTTTTACAAGAGGAACTTCTGATGCTCCAAAAATCAAAAAGAGACTGGACGTTTTTTGGAGATAGAAACACTGCCTTTTTCTATAGGCGGGTCAAAACAAGAAGACATCGAAATAAATTTTGGCGCTAAAGGATGAGACGGGAAATTTAATCGAGGACCCAAAGAGTTACGGTCGATGGCGATGGACTTCTTTCATTCTATATACACAGTCGAAGATGGCTTATCACCCTTATGATCAACACCCTCGTACTTCTCATGCTTAGCCCCAACGATAATTGCAAATCTCGACAGAGAAGTTTCTGATGCTGAGATCTTTGACGCCCTGAAGGAAATGGGACCGCTAAAATCACCAGGATTAGACGGGCTGAATGCCCTCTTTTTTCAGAGCCAATGGGACTTAGTTGGCCCTGCAGTATGTCGCCTTATTAAACATGTTTTGGGAGGGGGTACGATGCCGACTAAGATCAATAAAGCCCTCATCGTTCTCATCCCTAAAGTCGAGCACCTAGAAAATATCAGAAATTATTGAACCATCAGTCTTCTTAACGTTATTCACAAGTTGATGACAAAGGTGTTAACCAATCGGTTGAAGCAGACCCTCCCACACTTAATCGGCGCACCCCAAGTTAGCTTCATCCCTGGACGTCAAATTATGGACAATATTATTGTTGCCCAAGAGTTGATTCATTCTATGAGAGTTAAGACAAGACTCAAAGGTTATATTGTAGTGAAGGTGGACCTTGAAAAAGCTTATGACTTCTTGAGCTGAGATTATGTGGAAGCATCTGTAACGCCCCGTTTTATTTTAAGGAATTTACCGAATTTATTTAATAAAAAGCAGAGATTTTTTTTTTAAATCCAAGTTAAAACATTTATCGAGAAACGGGCGCTACTTACTATCCACAACAAACAAATAATAACACCAAATCAATCGATCGATAGAACCTACACATGCTCGAGCTATCAGAATAACAATCTTAATAATCATAAATTTCAAAATCATTCCCAAACGACTAGCATGAAAGCAAGGTTCAAACGAAATTCAACATAGTTCGAAAGCGACGAAACAAATAATCTAAAGTGCGATAGCAAATAGATAAATATCAAGTTTATGCGGAAGCATAGGTTTTCAACACATAATGACCACCATCTCGCTCGTCCTACGCCACCGCCTCCAGCTCGTCTCAACCTAGATCAATGGAAGAGAGAAGACAACAAGAAAATAATAGGGGTGAGCAACCAACAAGCTCACAATTATCGCACAGTTTATCTCGCATAACATTGTAAACCATCATAACCATAGTATTCAGTATGCATAGAATCCAACAGTCTAGCTCCCTACTTGGCCCTATCGCAAACCTCCTATGTACATACAACAACCTTCCGATCACACACGGCAAGGAAGTAACTGGAAACCTTCCCATCACCGAATGGCTACGGGCCTGGGATCCTTTCCAGGAGACAGTAGAGATGTTTTTCCCATTCACGAATATCATACGGACCTGGGTGTCACCTCTCCGAATCTACAGGCCGATGACCTCTCACTGTTTATGCATTCCTCAAAGGCACTAACATACGGGACACTTAGACTAGGGTTCTCACGCATACATCATTTTTCAAAAGAAGCATTATACGAAATAAATAGTGCGATAAATATGGAATACATCATAAATGTACCCACCTGATTGCAGCTACAGTTCAAATCACAAATCTCGAGACGAGGCGAGGTTAACACCTCTAGACACCTACATTAAGTCCAGATACTAAAGTCAACACTTTAATCTAGACCTATATAGAAAATATCACAGATTGACTTAGCCGAACTCGGTTCGACCAAGTGGTTCGTGAAGTTCTGTGGATATGGGAACACTAGGACTTAGACTCGATCAAACCACATATACAAGTTCACATAATCACAAGTGAAAAAAACAAACAACGAGCCACAAGTAAACACATGGCACAATTGGTCATCAACACTTAGCACATTTCAACATAGGAAAAACAATTTCTCAAATTCACACTTGAATTAGAAGGCATATCAAATAAATGAGTTAGGTTCTGAAACTTTTACATAAATTTCACATTCCAGTTCTAAGTAAGATCACCCAATTTCAGCTTCAAACTCCTTATGCATAATTTTATAAAATTCATACAAGTTTTTCAACAAAAACGAGTTTAAATTAAAAGCACATGATAATTGACGATTCAGGCTATCAAATTTTTATCTAAAATACTACAGCATGTGAACAGTAAAACATAAATTTATCAGCCTTCAACACTCAGTATATCAATTTATAAAATTAAAACAAGATTCAGCCAAATATCACAATTTTATCAAAACTGATCACAACTGAACTCAAAAAATTCTAAACCTTTTACAATGTTATCAAAACTGATCACAACTTTTCACAATTTTCTAGTATGTGATGTTTCGGGCATGATTATAGTGAATTTTTCATTCGAAACAGCAATTAAGAACTTCGAAAAATCATAATGGCAATTATACACTTCCAATCGACACAAGGTCAGCGCCATTGTGTTAGAATTAATCCTAGGTTCCTAAATCCACAGAAATTCATCACTTATATTCAGTTCTCGCTCGATTCGCACGAATCGACGAGTTCGACATAAAATCACGACAATAATAACATGACGAACGATAATATCACATGGCATCACAACACATATATTGATTAAACGAACACACTAGGCACAACCGAACATTATATTATTCACGTGATATTAAACACGGAGTTGAGAATCGATACCGAGCGAGAAAGGGTTCAAACGGCTCGATGGCGAACGGCGGCGAAAGAGCTCGACGGAGGATCGCGTCTCGCCGGAAGGAGGAGGTGCTGCAGCGCCTGAGAAGGGAATAGTCGCTGCTGCTGCTAGGTCGCCGGATGTCGCTGCAAGGTCGCCGGAGGAGAAGCTGCTCGTCGTAGGAAGGCGTCGGGGCTTCGCGGCGGAGTAGCTGTGCAAGAGGGAGAGACTGAACTCTCTTGCGCGACGAAAGAAAATGAAAAAGAAAAAGGAGGGATGGAGATGACGACGTGCTTATGATAACAAAAGGATGATGAGATTGATCGAGCGAGAACAGAGAAAAAAA